TTACACCTAAATAATACTTTGACCGACTTAGAAGTGGTATAAGAGACACCTTGATAAGCTTATTGTATCTTGACTATCAATATCCCCACATCTACCTCTCTACTTACCCCCAAAATCGCAATCGTCACTAAGCCTTAACTGCAAATTACATTTATTTGCCAGTCTTTTGTTAATCTAACAGAAACAACTCAATTTCTTGATAAGTTCGACGACTTTTCTTATTGTATCGCCGTTTATAACTCAACTCTCCAATTATAAGGAGCTATTAAAAGTAATGGCTTATTTACAAGTAATTATAACGTGACCTTTCAACGGTTTCCTGAAAGTTCATTTGACTTTAAACAGTATTTTGAAGTTATTAAGTCGTTATTCGAAGAATCAAACACTTATTTTTGTATTATTGTATTGTAACACTCGATACATATTAAATTAACTGTATTTTACGGTTGAGGCACGTAATTGATTGACAAGGTAACTCGACTAACTTCAAGCTACGCTCGGGGCTTATAGTCATAAATAGCATTGCGCGTTTATCGTCATGGCGATCATCGCGCAGTTAAGCTACTAGCATATCTTCAAACCATGGATAGTCAATTATTGTTTTTAGCGTATGTTGCCCCACACTAGGATTTTCTCCTGTGTTGGTTTACAAACATACAAGTTCACATACACATGATACCCAGACCCGGAACAACAATCTGTGGATCACACAGAGAGTTGTTCCATCCGGGAATCGAACCAATCGGCAGTCAGTTGCCCAACCACCGCGCCAACAATGCAGTTCCTCTGTCGTTCAGCTGTCGTTCAGCTACTACATCAAATGTATAGTCGTTTTCCAATTTGAACTACTAAACCACAATGGTTTCCACTTGGATTGTAACAGAAAATTTAAGTATACTTTCAATCGAAATATTAACTATATTAATATAAACAAATACAGCAGCTTATTATTGTTTATTTCGACTTATCATTCCTGTTTTATTCATTGTTCGAATCACTCATTAAAATGCGAAAATCAACTATTACTTATTTATTTTACATTTATGAATTCATTTTGTTGAACATTGTTATTGTTGTTTGGTCGGAAATGTTTCATATCATCCCACTACTGATAAAATAAATTATTTTAATTCAATATTCCGTATTTTAAGTAGAGTTACTAGTAATTATTATCACATCTTCTTGTGAGAAAATTCAAAGAAGGTTTTATGTTAAAGAGCCGTGCCCTCAGTTCCTTATTTCTTTTTCTGTCATAATAGTAACACAATAGCTCACTTTCTCCTAAATTCAACGCTACGCAACAAAAACCATACCACGTCGAGAGAAGGGTGTAAATAATTGATAATTTCACACATAAATGAGTCCTAAATTGTCGATAATTAAGCATATTTTAGGGAGTAGGATAATTCGCATAAACGCTCATGTCAAACTAACCTGAGTCGGGAAGCAGCTTTCCCTTCAGCTCCACATCGCTCTCCGCCGACGTCGCTCCATAGTTCTTATACGTTTTCCCCGAAGGCTCCTCAAACTTCGTAACTTTAAACCGCTCCGACATTTTCACTCACTTCACTATAGTTGCACTAATTATACACTCACACTAATTTATTATACTACTGATATGCGTCACTAACACAATGATATGTATAAGGATAAGTATCGGTTATTCACTTATACATTATTTTAAACACAGTTTTTCCTGAACTGGCGCGGTTCTCTGTAAACAATAATTTATTTTATTAGTAAAGAAGTTACACAGATTATTATTAAATTATGTTCTAGCTTGTTGGATATTGTTTATTTGTCACAAACGTCTTAACTGTTATTACAATTTAGTACAATTTTAGATATGTGAAGATGGATTGAGCATATATCACTAATTGGCATAGTTACGTCATTGGCAACAGCTATGTCACAATATCTATGTTAGAAGAAAAGAAATCTTTACACCGAATTCAAATCTTTAATATCGTATCAACCCATAGAATTGAAATAAACATTAAAATTACTGCTAAAACCCAAGCAAAAAGTCTCCTTCGAATTCAAAGCAAAAGAAACCATTACACGGCACTTTTATAGAAAGTTCTCGACCTTTTCCTACGGAGCTTGACCTATGAGCCAGGTAACAAATGAGAACTAATGAGACCTAATTACTTAACTTGGATTACTACTATGTACTATGTACACGTAAACAGTACTGGTAGAAAATAAACTCTATTGTTATTGCCAAGGAAGGAATATTGTTTTAGCTACGTAAGTATTCGAGTTGTTAAAAAAAGGTTGACTGATAATAAGGCAAGATACGAAGTAATCAGTCCTCGTAGTAGATTTGTAAGCAATCTGAGCTGCCTATGTATGGACATCCACAACACCACAGAAGCTACAAATGCATAGTCGGTCTTTAAGACAAGTGATTAGGGTCTCAAATAACCTCATTCACACGACGAAACAAAGCGCTAGCGTTGTTTCACGTCGGTTTTCTATGAGGCCGTGGTATCACTCCGGTCCAGCAGGCCCATTCGTCCCGTAGCATAGCTCTCCCACGTGAATATCTCTATCGGGTTTACTATAATTATGAAGCAATTATAATTATATTATTCAATAATAATAAACTATTAAACATGAATATTACATGTGCATATTGCACAGATCTTGTCTTAATCAGTGAGATACAAGAATAAATTAAAACCAGTACTCTATGTACTACATAACCACCTCTGGTGCTGACCTAAATGTTCAAGGATATAACTGCCTTACTTGATAACAGATAACAGTATAAGCCTGGATTACATGACGTCATTATTGGATTATTTTCCATTTAAAGTATTTCACTAAAATTGAACGTATTTTTAGAATAAAATCTAAACGAGTAGACTGGTTACCTGATGGTAAGCGAACAGCGCCGGCAAAGGACATTTGCAACACTAGAGGCCTTACAGCTGCGATGCTGGACTTTTAAAAAGGTCTAACTACTCTTTTATCTTAAAGGTTTTGAAGGTCTGTTATGTTATGAGTTCTTTGTATTAGGAAGTACATACATCTAGTAGGTACATTTCTCATATTTCATTCTCGAATACAAGCTATGGGAATCATAACAAAGATTCCTAGCCCAGTCGCTCGTACGGCTATCAAACTTGATACCAGCTGTTAAGATCATTGAATTATTTATTCAAACAGGATCATTTTTTGCGCATAATGTATTTCTTACGACTTATGAATAGGTCAAGGATAACATTATGATGGGCGATTATTTTCAATTGCCTTTGTATGGAGACTTGATTTAAATCCAGTTTATAGTTGGGGTTGAACCCTGTTACTTTGAACTTACAGTAAAATGTCCTGAAGATTTGATTCACGAAATGAGTCAACTATACTACAATAACTACTTTTGGACTAATCGGAACTTCAATGAAGGCTAAGTCTAGTTTAAATCAAATAAAACAAAAATTAATGCACGGATAAATGAAGAAAAACAGGTTCCTTTAACATATTACGCAAGTAGCTGTTAGGTACATAGATTTATTGAAGTGATTGCTTATAGCTGTATAAATTAAATATCAGGACAAGTTGTAAATTGCCGTCGTTCATACGACAGCAGATTTTCACAGTACATGCGTTGGTCTATCTGTGGCTTTGTACACAATGCCGTATTTTGTTTACTAGATGCAGTGTTATCGAATGCATTATTGCAATCATTATCATCCCCAGCTTGTAAGAGTCCACTACTAGACTGCAGACGGCGAGCATGAGTGGCTCGCCGCCCGACCAGAACCAGACCCGAACGTCCGGCGCGTCGCGTTCCGCGCGCTCCTCAAGGAGCCATCAGCCAATCACGGATAGGGCCCAATAGGGCTGATGCCGATTCGGAGCTGCGGAGAACTTAACGGGTTACCGGGGCTCCGGCTCGAAGTGCAGGAGTAGGAACGGGGTGGTTTTTAGTCAGTCTGACACGATCCCGCCTCACCTAAGCGGGAGATGTCATTCGATGAAAAAAGAAAAAAAGAATAGGGCTCCTTTACTTAAGATGCCTACTCTTAAGGCACTCTCTAGAGACTCTCTTAAAGAAGATGATGTGATTAATAATACCTAATCATCAAACTCTTTGTATATGTTTTACAAAGAATGCTTGGCAATAAGTCATGTGTGCTATATTTAAAACAGTATTTATAACATTACTAACTCAAAACAAAGATCTTTGTCCCTATATTAGTCATTGTACTTATTCTGTCTCCAGAATGCAATAAACCCTGTAACCAATTTTACATTTATGATGTTCTCCTTATTCAATCTTTTGATTTAAATAAAAAACATTGCAGGATTTGCATTTTAGCGCGGCGAGCTCGCGTCAGATACGAGAGGAATCTTTTTAATTCGATTTGCTATCGCAGTCGCGCTTGCACGGGATTTTTCCAGAATATTCTGGCCCATTCCGATTTGCCAACGCCCTAGTCTGTTCATTATCTTAAAGAGCTACGTGTAAATGAAAAGGTAAATAGTTACAAAGAGATATTTCGTGACCAGAAAAGATGTTATCAGCATTTACAGTTGTAATTTCTTTTTTCGAATGTATGCTTTCAATGTGTGTTCGAAAGTGCATTTTTGCATAATCATCAGTGGGTTTAATTTGTAATAGGTACTGTTTTTTATCAGTGACACCGTGTATTCATCTGTTATTAGAAACATGATTGTTTTTCTTTTTAGTTCAAAATAAACTTGCATGCTTGTTAGCATAGCTTTAAAATGTAACTCGATATTAAGATATGGAACTAATAATGGATGCGAAAGAAACCAGGAGCATACTTTACCTTTTATGCGAATCATATTCGTTCAACAAATTGAAACATAAATGTATTTCAAAGTAGTGTTAACATCGGTTCCTATTGTGATATATTTCATACAAATCTCTCCTTTGAACTTAAAAGAATATAAAATGTTTGAACCGTTTTGAAACGGCTAACAGCTTGACAACAGTGAGTACAGAATATATGAGATACAAAGGTTGCAATTTTAAAACCACGTGTAAGATTTTATTCTTTAAATTCTTAAAAAAAACTTAATGAAATTCTTCTTACTGAAGCTTCTAATCTTGTCTATTCAATACTTTGCTTAGGTAAATAAATACCTAGGTGCATAAAATTAATAACCACACAATAGAACTATATGGTCTTTTTTAATGGCATAAGCCGGTAAACGAGCAGACGGATCACCTGATGGTAAGCAAACGGAGTCTCCCATGGACACGTGGAACACCTTTTTGGGATTAGGAGTTTGAGGATCGTTGGGGATTCAGGGATTAGGGAGATTGGGGAAGGGGAGGGTAATTAGGCCTCTGGTAACCTCATTCACACGACGAAACACAACGCAAGCGTTGCTTCACGTCGGTTTTCTGTGAGGCCGTGTTATCACTCCCGTCGAGCTGGCCCATTCCTGCCGAAGCATGGCTCTCCCACACTTTGTTCTTTGTTTTGAATCCCATAACTAAATGTCCAAATACTCCAGTATTTATTTTTTAGTCGCGCTTAAGTTCATTTCGTTCTGTCCCTACAAATGTAATGTAAAATGACAGAGATAGCACGATATTTAAGTATAATTTAAAATTGAGTAGTCTTTCAGTATTCGGGCGTCAGCCTTGTCTTCATTCATGTGAAATATTTTAACCTTTTCAAGTGCTTTTTTTATTATGTTTTACGATAAACTGTTCTACTATTTTATGATTTTAGAACCGAAATTATGACAATGAACTTTTCATAAAATGTGTTAAGCATATCTTTAGTATGACAATGTGTCATAGAAATATCAATCTTCATTCTGTTGAAATCATTCTGTTCTCCTCTAATCTCCTCGTATCGACAACCTTAGTTAACCTCAGTACTTAATACTCATACATCATACTCATACATCATGACTGCATGGTTGGCGCGGTGACTGGGCAACCGGCTGCCGCGCAACGTGTAGCGATTTCGATTCCCGCACGGAGCAACTCCTTGTGTGATCCACAATTTGTTGTTTCGTGTCTGGGTGTCATAATATGTATGTGAACTTGTATGTTTGTAAACGTACCCAGGATACAGGAGAAAATCCTAGTGTGAGGCAACGTTTTTTTTTTAATAAAAAGAAAAAAAATCTCAAAACAAAAGATATTCACACAACGCCCCACAAACAATCAGACAACAAAATCACTCCGTAAACACACTCTAAGTATCTGAGTGCAGCTACTAGTAGTAATTCTATAAATACATATATCGGGTAGCAATCAGCCGCTACCGCAGCGATCCGGTGCAACAAACGAACGGGCAAGTGACACCAATTGTAAGTATTGAAAACAGAGAATTGATCGCCAGGGCCGGTCTCATCGGTATTTCATTTAAGTAGCTCGTCTCTGTTACTTTACCAGTTAGAGGTAATTAAAATTCTCTAGTTTAGCCTGTACGCAAATGCTTTGTTTGATATGCCACGTATAAGCGTGGGAGAGCCATCCGGCTCGACTCCGGAGTGATACCATAGCCTCACAGAAAACCGACGTGAAACAACGAAAGCGTTCTGTTCCGTCGTGTGTGTGAGGTTTCAGGCGGCCCAATTGCCTCTCCCCCCATCCCCAATCTCCCCAATCCCTGAATCCCCAACTATCCTCAAATCCCTTATCTCTAACAGGCCGCAAACGCTCTTGTAACAACCTCTGGTGTTCCGGGTGTCCATAGGCGGCGATTGTCATCAAGT